GGTGTCTCCATCCCGGCTATTGGCTTTGGTGTGTACCAGACTCCTGCAGGAGAAGCCTTGTCTATCGTCAGCGAAGCCCTTAAGGCCGGATACCGCTTAATTGATTCGGCTTCTAGCTACGGAAATGAAGAAGAAGCCGGTGAGGGTATTGCCGATTTTTTGAAGGCTAACCTCTCCGTCCATAGATCGGAGGTGTACTACACCACCAAGATCCGGAACGAAGACCACGGCTACGAGGCCACCAAAGCAGCAATCCAGAAGTCGTTACTGAAGGTTGAGAAGTTGATTGGATATATCGACTTGATTTTGGTTCACAGTCCAATTTCTGACAAAGAGAAAAGACTAGGAACGTGGAAGGCGTTACAGGAAGCTGTTGCTCTGGGATCTGTCAAGTCTATCGGTGTGTCCAATTACGGGGTCAAGCACTTGGAGGAGTTGCTCGCGTGGGACGGATTGGTTGTGAAGCCGGTGGTTAACCAGGTGGAGGCCCACCCATGGTTGCCCAGAAAGGACATTGCAGCCTTTGCGGCCAAGCACGATATTTTGATCGAGGCATACTCTCCTATCACTCAGGGTAAGAAACTCACCGACCCAGAATTGGTCCAGGTGGCCTCTGAGGTGTCAAAGAAAGCGGGTAAGACCATTGGACCGGCACAGGTGTTGATCAGATGGTCGTTGGAGCAAGGCTACATTCCATTACCGAAGACTGCAACTGTGAGCAGAATTGCCGAAAACTTGGATGTTTTCGACTGGAAGTTGACCGAAGAGGCCCGTAAGGTATTGGAAAAGGACACTCACGAAGTTTTGACTTGGCAGGGCCGTGATCCAACCGCTTACGAGGACCCGAAATAAGCGAGCTCCATACCCTGTGCGGACTATCCAACACTGTGTAGGTTATATCTTTATATCTATCTAATATTTGTCATTGACGCTTTCCTCGATTCCGGGGCCTATAAATCACACTATAAAATAGGTTTATCAAACTATAAAATGGGCATATCATACCTAGGCATCACCTAATATGCCAACAGACTCAACGCAGCTCTTTGGCAAACCTAACTGTATATAGGCATTTAATGGCTCAATTTGTCGTTCTGAAGTTGCTCAGAGCCTTAGACTATAAAGTTTAGCCCCAATACACAGTAATATTTCAAAATAACTACGGTACTGGCGTCAGAGCCCTAACCGTGGGACGCAGTCTACAGTGGATTACTAATCCTAAAGCTTGTCACACTAATTGTGGCCCGCTGCGGCTTAGGTCTTTCGAGCAAACCTGACAGTGGCGCGGTGCTCCACGTGCTTGAGGCCGGCTTTTTTCAAGTGGGGTTGCTACATTCTGTGGGATCCTATATAAGGGTCCCGCCCCCCCGAGCCCAGTAAGTGAAATATCTCGGATTCTACTACACCAATTGTATCCCAATTTCCAGAAACTGCAATATTACACCTTCTACAACTATGACCTCAAAATTGACCGCTCAATCCCTCCGCAAATTATCCAACGGTGTCTCCATCCCGGCTATTGGCTTTGGTGTGTACCAGACTCCTGCAGGAGAAGCCTTGTCTATCGTCAGCGAAGCCCTTAAGGC